AAATTTTTAAAATATGTTGGTACCGAGACACTAATACCTCAATATGTCGATTTCGGATACCTGCCACGGACTCAAGCACAGCCATGGACTCGCTCATATGGTCATATCGAGAAGAGCCGCTGAATCAGGAACTAAATGGAACTGACGCTGCGAGAAACTTTAATAATTGATGAAGTGCTGTGTTCTGCTCTGAGTTTACTTTTCCTGAATGCTGTTACGTATTCTTTTATGTTTTTCTGCATGTTTATTTATTCTTGAAAACAGGGTGAATCACGTGGACCCTAGTAAGCAGATATATTCAACTGAATCTGGAAAGCGAACAAGAAAAACACTCATTTTATTTGTATGATCGAAACTTTTTCCTTTGTTTGTTCTGGTTTGATATGAATAAAATCATTTTCAGTCAATTCACCGTAAAATATTCCCTTGACTGTAAAGGAAAGGGTCTCTATCGAGTCAAAATGCCTGTGCGTATGTCCGCAGCCGCACAGAGCGACTAAAATAAAATGACTCTATGTTTGTAGTTTGATGACATATAGTCATGAAACTTTCACAGCAGAGTTATTCGACTATGGGGAATCAGAAAATGACTATAGCAATCTCTAGAATCCACTATAACTATTTGTTTTGTTTCATTGCTTATACGTTGTAATAAAATTTTCAAATATGTAAGTGCTTTACTGAATTGACCTATGAATTTAAGAAGATCTCAAAGGAAAGATTAGTGACAAAATCTAATTCATTCAATTGTTCTCTTTCTACTGAAATATAAGGCACAGTTTTTAAATGTTCTTTACTATTTTCACTGTTCATTGAAACGAGCTATCTTCCCGCACTAGCGTCATAATCCGCATTCGTCATTTGAATGTTGTTCCCAAATCAAATCAAATTTCCTCTTCCTCTGGTATTTCACTATAACGAGAAATATCAACGAATATAATGTTATCTAGTGGAGTTTTGATGTCAATCTGATAGACACCATTAGCCGAAAACATTTCAGCAACAATCATTAATCTAATCGCTGATAGAAATCCGTCTGAGATCATCCAAAATGGACTTATGTAAGATGTTGAAATTTCAAAGGTCGAGTAAGATTTTTTTCGCATTTATCTGAACATGGTTGGATAGAGTGCATCGAGCTGAGTAAGTAAAGTGGTTTTTCATTTTTTTAAATATTTTTTAAGGAAGAAAAATTGAAAAAATTTGAAGGATCTAAAATTTCAAATAACCCTTTAGTGTTACAAAAAATTCGAACTCATGTCTGTATTTTTTCAAACTTTAGCGAAACCTGATGCACATGTTCAAAGATATTTGTTGAGTGTTTCAGCAATGTTTAAAGCCGAAGAAACCGAAGAAGATCAATATGATAAATATGCCTCAGTGCTAGGAATACCGACTGCACGGCTTTTATTATGCGCACGCGGAACAATGACAAAGACCGCGCGTGAGATTGTTAAACTTGTACTTACACCAGAACAGGTTGCTGCATACAAAAACAAAGATGATGTACCAGCCGAAATTCGTGCCGCAATACATGGTGTATATTTTTAAGATGGATAAACAAACTTTAGGGAAACTATAAAAAAATGTTTTGAAGTACTTTCAGTAGCATGTGTCCATTGCCTTAAAGAACAAACTGCGACAATCCTGAAATAACGGTAGTTTCTTTTCTTCTATTTGATAGGTTTTGTCAGAAAATATCATTTAACACAGGTGTGTACTGATCGTACGTTGAACGAAGCTATTCGTAGTGCAATTAATAATGAAAAAGGCAAAATAACAAAACATGAAGAAGAATCATTGTTAAAACACCCACAATCAGCAGAAGACGACGAAAATACCGTCGAAGAATGACACAATGATGGCGATTTATATTGTTTATAACTAGGAAAAAAATAAAATTGTTAAGATTGATAACAAATAGTGTGTCATCATGAATATAAAGGTAGAACAGTATTGTTCTTTTTACTTTGTAAAATAATAAATCACTGGAAAAAAATAAAGAACAAGAAATAGTAAAAGCGTTTTTGTGTTTTTTGGGCGGCAGTGGTGCTTTGATAAAAGATAAGCCGGAGCGGCTGCGATAAGTACGCAGATTGCTCTGCTGTTCTTTTTCCTATGAGTTTTTTCTTTAATTTTGTTAATGATTTTTGCCCGAGTAGTAGTGAACGATCAAGAAACTGCACTCCTTTTGCCACATTCGATGCAAAAACTGCATTTATCACATATTTTTTATTTTCAGGTTTATTATTATCGAAATGACCTCCAGATGGTCGCTTCGGCGGAAACGTATAGCGCAAGAAACTGAATTAGATGAATATTATCAAGCTAAACGGCAGGCTAACGGTTCCGGCACTCAATTAGATTTGATGTGCAACGAACCGTTACCTGCTGAATTACTTGGAGAATCGAATTGTAATTCGTCAGATGTAATGACAGAACAAAGACCGGTAGAAAACTCAAGTCATGAAAAGGACTACCAGATGAACGAAACAAGTAGTAACTATACTGAAGACACATCTGATACCGAAAGAGGCGAAACGGGCAGTGAAGAATCGTAAGTGAAACATTGGAAATATGAGATACAGATCCTGGCAAGACGATCTAGTAATTGTGCTTTTGCTTTTAGAAGTTCTACCGCCTCCCCGACACAAACTGAAATATCTGCTGCATTAATTCTATTTAAAGCAAGACATAAGCTTTCCATCAGCTGCATTAATGATTTATGCATATTGCTAAAAATGCTAAACCTTCCAAATACACCATGTTCATACCAACAAATTCGGCGTCTTTTAGAAAATCGTCTTGATGTGAACGACTGCAGCAAAAGTTATACAGTCTGTACACAGTGCGATACCTTATGTAATACATCTTCGAGATGTGAGAATGGTCAATGCACGCAAGCCGTCGCTTATACAAAAGATCCATTAGAATATCTGCATATACCACTTAAACCTCAAGTTAGTGAGATACTGGCTAGAACGAAAAGTGTAAGTTTTGAGTCACAAAGTAAACCCACAAAGCCAGTTTTAAAAGACATTTACGATGGTAATCGATATCGTGCTATTTGTGAAAACGAACGTCAGAGGTTTCTTACATTAACAATGAATACAGATGGTGTTCAACTTTCAAAGAGTTCAACGTTATCTATGTGGGTGATAACATTTGTAATCAACGAAATCAGTAGAAAAGAGAGATTCAGAATGAAAAATGTAATTATAGAAGGAATATGTTCGGGCAAACACAAACCAAACCGAACTCAAATGAGGAATATTTTTAATTTGATTGTTGAGCAATTAATCCGACTACAAAACGGACATTATTATGAAGTTACATCGTCAGATAACGACGTAATGAATATTAAAATTCATTTAATAGCAGCTTGTTGCGACAAACCAGCCGCTGCCATGATACAAAATATTGGTGAGCCGACAGGGGCCTTTGGTTGCGACCGTTGTCATATTGAAGGTACGTGCAGATTCTAGATTGATCGCTGAAAAATAATAGTTCGCTTTTTCTCTATTTAAGGCGTGACTGTACCCTACAGTGATGATCCTAGCAAACGAATTCGTGTGTTTCCAATTACAGATGAACATGAGAACGAAACGTATGACGTATGCTTATCATTTCTGGAGCAGGAAGAACGATTATTACAATCGAAATCGAACTATACGACAGCGAAAAGCAGAAAACTTTCTTTCGTCGAACAAGAAGCTTTTAAGTGCCTTAAAGCCGGTCATCGTGGATCATGCTCATTAAGACAGTTGCAGTATTTTGACGTAGGCGAATCTTTCACTGTCGACACCTTGCACAATATTTATCATAGTGTCGGGGTGAGTAAAGTTAGGAAGTTCTAGTACTACTTAAATAAAATCAATTTTTTGTTTCTTTAACGTCGGTTGTTGACCTTATGGCTTAGTTCTGAATATCGAAATTCTCCCTTTTCGTGTTATTATTCACTAGACGAGGTTGATAGTTATTTATTAACCATCAAATATCCATCGTCTACAGCCAGAATACCGCGATCTGTCCGATTATTTAACAAATATAAAGCGAACGAAATAAAAATGATAATATTATTTGGATTTACGGCATTTCGTTCGGTACTGAACCGCACTCATTATCAACATCTGTTGCTGCTTGTAGTGGGAGTTCATTTGGCGGAGAACAAATTAATCCACCGAACTCAAATTGCAGTTATACAGCAATTGTTTGATAAATTTTTGATCGATTTTCCGAAACTTTATTCACCCAGACATAACGTACAAGTGATTCACAGTGTAAAACATGTTGCAGCTTCTGTCCGTGACTTCGGCCAACTTAGCAACTATTCGACATTTAATTTTGAAAGTCTGTTAGGTAAGCGCAAATCCTCTCATTTTTTCAAAAAAGCATGTGCTGGTCATAGAGAAGCTCTCATATATTCTCACTGGTCATAGAGAAGTTGGAAAAATGCTACTGCTAAATGCCGTGAAGTTTTAGTTCTATTTGTTTTTTCAAGATCGAGAAATAACAATTTCTTGCGAAAGAAGCATAGTATTTTCTTCAAGTTATTAATTGATTTTTGAAAGTCTGAACAGGTTTTAAAACTTGGGCTCTTAGTCGCACATCTTTCATGCAGCTCGCTAACTTCATTCATTTTTAGGACTAATTACGTCATCTTGCCACTCCACTCGTCGTCATGCCATCGAAATCAATATCAACCTACGACTGCTACGTGTCGCCTGCGGTAAAATCGATGATTCAGAGTTCCATCCAAAACTAAGAAAATTTCTTGATCAGATTCAGTCGTCTAAGCGTGTTATTTTACCGGTAAATGTTGAAATGACGCGTAAAAAAGCTGTTCTATTCAGAGGTAGAGATGCTGATCCTGTTCGTCTCCTTTCGGTCCAATCCTCTCTCAACATTGATGAGATAACTTTGTACAAAACTGCTCACACTGGAAACAATCGACTAACGTCAAATAAGCACTTCTCGCAAAGACAAACCAATGATTCATGCGTACTCTATAAGATTCAAAATAAATGTCACGTCGGTTTTATTCATGGATTACTATGCAGCAAGAAAAAGACAAATCACTTATTTCAAATTCAAAAAATAGCCATCGTTGGAAAACTAAATGTAGATTTAGCTGGACGAAAAGTTGCGTGTCCGAATATCTTCTATTGAATTTCGAGCGATCGCAAGGATTTTGTATATATTAAGGGCGAACAGATCGTGGAAAAAATTGCGTTTGTATACGATAAAAATCAAAAATATTTCATATTCTTTCGTTATCCTTCATTAGTAGAGTCTTCATAATTATTTATCTGAGAAGGAGTAAATGCTATTTTATTTATTGTCCTTCCATTCGCTCGATTAGATTCGATGCGGCTGGAGGAGAGAGCACAGAAGTATTGCAAACATTTACTCCACTTTCTTTGTTTTTTTATTTAATCCGATTCGCTCGATTAGATTCGATGCGACCGGAGGACCGAATAATTCTAAATCTTAGCTTCTGCGCTCGTGTTTTTATTTACAGATATGAGTTTCTTGGCTTGTCTTGGCTTAAGCCAAGATGTATGTTCAACACAGTCCAAAGCAACAGTAGTCGTTGATCCCTCCGTGTCCGATTTTTCTTTGGTAAGAAACGATTTAGTTTATGGTAGTGCAAACATTCACTATTCGTTCACTGTGTCTTCTAGATCGATGTTGAAAAGGGAGGAAAAACCACTTCAGTTTATTTATCAGTAGTACAAATTGTTTACGACAAGATGAAAAATGAAGAAAAAAATATGATATCCCGTCCATCTAATGCTCCATTGGCAACTATAATGGAAGTAAGTAAGAGCATATCCACATCGTTAATATAACTTTAATCTTTTTTCTTTCGTAGTCGTCACAAGAATTAGCTGAACAAACATTGGAACAAATTCAAAGATTTCACAAAAATTTAAATAATTCTAATATACGGTATGCTGCTCCTTTTTAAGATACACTAAATTAGATCTGCGATAAACATTCATTTGCATAAGAAATTATTTGAACGTTACTAAGGTTGTTTGCTCGACAGTAAAGACGTTATTTTTTTATATCGGACTTGTTAAATGTTGGAGGAAGGTCAGTAGCTTTTTGCCAGAAAGTTAGTGGGAATTTGTGTCAAAAAACTCGTGCTTCTTCGCCAAGTAATATTTTATTCCAGTTTGACGCTGGTAAACATCTATTTCTTTGTATATCGTTTTAGTGAACTATTAGTGGTCGACGATACCATGATACAGAAATCGAGAATTTTAACAGAAGGTGTTGATATTATAGTTGCTATACCTGGACCTCTGTATGAATTAGCTAATGGACATGGTATAGATTTATCACAAATGAGATTTTTCGTTCTGCATGATGGTGTGAGCTATTTGTTTTTCTGTTTGAAGCCTGAGAAGTGTCCGGTACACTTCCCCTTTAGAATTCAGAGCGATTTAACCGCAAAAGCAAAAACGGATAAACAGTAATTGATCGGATAGGGTTTCTAAATTAGCGAACAAGCCAAATCTATTTATTTATCTATCTAGGACCAGTTTCTCAGAAAAACTGAAGTTTTGACTTAAATCGAAATTTAAGCGAAACTTAATTTTTGACTTTTAAAAGTGATTTTTTCAAAATAGCTTAATTTAAGAAGAGATCATGTAGTAAAAAACACTGATATTTTAGGCAATCTAGATTCTAGAAAAGTCGGCAAGTAAATCAGCCTTATCCTCAACCGAAGTGACTTGAGAAGAACCATACTGAAGCCTAGAGGAAAATTATAAGATAAAATCGACTTTTTTTAAGATTCTCAGCTTACTAAAACTGTTAAATCCTAATCATTTGAATTCATGTATGTACATTAATTTTAGGTGCCAAAATCTTTGTCCAAAACAAATTTCATATTCGTTAACACTTTATCAAAATTAAAAGAATGCATATCCGAATTAACAAAGTCAAATATTATTACCTTCGATTTTGAAGTAAGTGTGCAACACGATTTTGCCTAGAACCTGAAACGAGATTTCGGCAACGAAACCTGCGGCATCCTCTGATTTTCAGACTGCCGTAGACTTTACTCCACTGTGGTTTAATCAATCTAGCTGTTTTTCTATTTCATGCCGCCTGTTTTTAATTTTTTGCTAATTTTTCAGTTTAATGAAACTATTGGTATATCAATCATACAGTTGGCTGGTGGCTGTTCTGAATATGTAATCAATTGTACCACAATTAACAACCCAAACCAATTTGAAATTCTTAAGCAACTTTTCGAAAATGCCAGCATCATTAAAGTAAGCCAAGATATAAATTGACAAAAAGAAAGCAGACCTTTCTCAGATAGTCGACTAACTAACTCTAAGATCTTTTTGAATTTAGGTGGGTCATGGAATCAAACAGGACATTCTGCGGACGAAAAATTAAACATAAAAATTGTCAACTTTTATGACATTCAGTACGGGCACTATATATTGAATAATCAAAAGGTGGAACATATTTTATCATTAACGAAAATATCTGATGTATATGGTCATAAAAAAATTGACAGTTTACCGGGAAAAGAAAAAAAACGTTTCCAGAGAATGAATTTTGATAAGTGAGCAACAGGTTTTCTATTTCTTGAACGCAAAGATGAGTCATTCTGAGGTTTAGACAAGGAATTTACGAGCGGAGTCTCCTTCTGTGCTTCGTCTCACACACGATATAACGAAGACTAAGCTGTTTCTTTTATTTTTCCTTATTTAGTGTTACATGTCATGACAATCAGTTACTCCGATATTTGAGACTGGATGTACATAATCTATTGTTTATTTTTCAACAAATATTTTGTTTTTTATTATTAAAAAAAGTTAGTTGGAAAAATAAGACGTGTCACGATGCACGTCCAAAGAAATTTCTTTCTCAACGTCAAATTTTTTTCTCCGATGATGAAGAAACACCGACATTAACAATCGGCTTATCGTCCAGCGAACAATATGAGATCGACAATTCATTTCCACCAACAGTTCGACCATCGTGGTTGCCGCTTCCTGTTCCGCTTAGCGCTCGATTAGATTCGACGCGCATAAGTGGTGCAGTTGGCGGTGATAACGACAGCGAACTAAATAATCAATCAACAACTACATCACAACAATTAAAATCTGTTACTAATATTCAAATCGCTTTGCCAGAAGTTGTAGCACCGATAAAATTGAAAGCTCTTTTACATGTTTACTTTAATGAGCATCCTTTATTAACCATCATTCCAGATTGTTTAAGTATCGAATTACAACTAAATACTGAAATGGTCTCAATTCCTAAGTTGATCAATCTAAAACCTTATTTAATTAATTGCAATGAAACACAATTATTTGAATTAAGAAACACACTTTATCTGTATCAAAAAACGCAACTGATATACGAAAAAGTGGTCGATGATGTAGTATTTGAACATGACAGTAAGTACAGTTTTCTTAAATTCTTATGTAAGTTTTATTGAATGCATAATAGATGCCATCTTAATTCGATCTATATATCCACTTTTAGCCAAGAAGTATGATGGTATTCAGCTGCGAGAGCAAATGGAACGACGTATGAATAGTGGTATTAATGTAAAACGAAAAGGTCGTGCACAGTCAACCGTCGAACGACGCCGAAGAAAAAAGAAACTTTTAGAACAATTACAGCCGCAGAACGATTAGTTTTTTACGTATTTTGATATATTTGTCTTCTGTACATTAGAATAAATTTTCTGTTTTCATCGTTAAAAATAAACTGCATAGATTTCTGGCAGATCTCATAATTCACTAAGCGCAAAGTATATTCCACAAATGATTGTATGATTATACACTAAGTGTTGTGGAGGGTGAGCAGCCATGAGAGTGAGCCACTCATGTGATTTAATCACCACAGACAACGTTATTAAATGAAATAAAACATGACTATTTAAAATAAATTGGCTTCCGGGCTCTACGTTAGGAAATAGTCATCTGGAGCGCAAAAAATAGCTAGAAAGAACCGAATTTAAAACAAAAGAGGTGGTATACCACTACCGGTTTCTACCTTAGCCAAAGGGTTTCATCAGGTGGCTTCTATCAAACAAACAGAACGCATTTCTACTATACATACTTATATGTTTTACTAAATTATAAAAGGATTCATTTCATTTACTATATACATATACACATTCACATGGCGAAAATTCTTTTCGCTTCAACATGAAAATAGAAAAACAAAAATTATTTTTCTCCGTCTGACTAAGTGACATGTGCGAACAAACAAACTGGGTAGTCGTTCTTCAACAAATATGTCAATCTAACGAAAGAGACTAACACAGATACGGCTTAGTTGGCGATATTCTCTAATGTTCTTAGTCTCTTGAAATACAATATGACAAAACATTTTTTACTATGCCTCTTAGACTAAGCAGAATTTTACTGCCTACTTATATGAGGAAAATTAAGGTCACTTAGAAACATACTTCATCCTGGCTGTTTGACAATTTGACTTTAAGAAACCGCATTTAAAGGCGTCTTTTTCACTTTTCGATAAATCATAACTCGCGTCGTTTTAATGTGCGTCTAAGAAATGATCCGTAAGAAAACGCATTCAGACGCGATTTCAAAACGTTTTTTTAATAGACGCACCTAAACGCGTTTTGAAACATCATTCCGCGGCTGCGTTTTGACGCGCCTCCATAAAGCGCGTCAAACTAGGTCTCATTTTGGTCGCGATTAGAAGACGCGCTTAAACACGTTTTTGTAACGCGCGTCTAGGCGCGCCGTAGAAATTATCCGTACAAACACGCGTTTGGACGCGTCGGTTGACGAAAATGTTTTGTAGCCGCGTTTCGACGCGTCTTTCTTATGCGCGCCTGTAACATTTTCTTACGAAAATGCGTGAAGACGCGTATTTTGATGAAAATAGTTACAGCCGCGTTTAAATGCGTCTCTCTCACGCGCGTTTAGACGCGTCAGAGAAATTAATCTTTATATATACGTTCATTTTTTCATTCTAAAGGTTTTGATTTTGTCAGCTAAAATTTTTGTCATTTGTTTAATTATTTCATTATCTTTACCATTATCTTTGACAATTTTCAAATCGTCGACTAATAATTTTTGATCATCGATACTTGTTTGTGAGCCAACAAATAATAGCCCAAATGAAATCTATAACAGAAAGGAAGTAATATTCCAGTAATAAACTAGACAGTTACTACTACTTACCGCTGTATCTTTCATCACACGCTTCATTTTATTATAGGCGTTGTTAGTTAAATTCTTTCCAGTATAATCGAAACAACAAGTAGCGAATCATTGGTTGATAAATGTTTCGTAATTTGAACATTGTCACATAGTTCTAATGTTAGACCTACAGCTACTTCAACTAATAAATTCTTAACATGTTTTTCAAAATCATTTGCATCTTCCTCATTATGCTCGTTCTGGTAAGTATCATTACCATTAACAATGATAAACCAAGGAAAAAAATGGTCATTTAATTTATTGTCATCTTCATTTTCACTTGATGTAGTGCTTTCGGTTTCATTCATATCATCAACTTCATTCTCGCTTTTCAGACTCGTTGAAATTTAAATTTCGACTCGAGTCAAACTTGCTCCTACTTAAAGGAACCATTCTGATTTGGCATCCTCTTCTTGTTCGGTGTCATCATCGGAACTTTCACTACCGATAGACTCCTCTTCTTCTCCTACTTCTTCTTCTTCATCCTCTTCGGAACTTTCTGTATCGTTGTTTTGCTGTTCATCGTCATCGCTGTTGTTTTCGTCACTACTTGAAGAACCACTGCTACTTTTACTAGTTTGATTATCTTCTATATGATTATGATGAACATGTTTCTTTGAATAACTTTCAGACGTGCTTTTTACTGACTTACTAAATTTTTTTCATGTTACTTACTCCTTTTTTGACAACAAAAACTGCTTTGTTGTCTTTTGTTTTATATGAAAAATAGAAATAAGAAGAAAAAGCGAATGCCATGTTCTTTCAAAAAGACAAAAACAAAATTCATTTATAACAGAATTAAAATAAAATGGTTGTGCAGCTGGTTGCCTGTTTCTTTCTCTCTTTAAATAGAAGTTAAATAGTAACTCTATTTTGTACGTAAATAAAATAACTCGTGTCAGAATAAAAATTTGTTCAAGAGGGAGCAGATCAGTTACTTTGAACACTTTGTACTCTCTATTAATGATCAGTTATTTTCCATTTTAAAACTCTCTAAAAAGTAGGTAAGTTACGTGAAATTCGTTTGAAAATTAATATCAAGACGAGGCATAAATCTTGACGATTATTGTGTGTTTAACGATTCCTGGTAGATATAGTTTCTATCAATCTGTCGAATTAAGTAGATGAGGCGGCACTCGTGAACTTTTCAAGCAAATATTCCGTACAGCCCCTTTTACTTTTGCGCTGAGTTAAAAATAATCAGCATCAACGCTTTTAAAGAAAAATGACATCACTCTTGGGAAGCTCTCATGTTCTGAGTGAGCAGAAGTTTTCTGGTTTGTATGAAAAATTTCAGAAAAATAGAGGAAAAAAAGCAACGACAATTATATGGGAGATAGCAAAACATGTAATTGTTAGGTCTATAATAAAGTAAACATGTTTTCATGTTGATTTCGTTCTAAGTGATAATATTATGAATGATTTGTGTGAAAAATAAGTTTTTTTTTTCCAAATTATGCAACTTTAAAATGATTTTCTCGTAGAAACGACACGTTTAACATCTAGAATATAATTCTGTTCAGTTAGTTTTTTGTTCGTTATCCAATTTCAGAAAATTTTCAAAATAACAATAATAATTGATTTTTCTCAGAAATTCGTCGACATTATACAAAAATGTTTACTGTTACAGGAGCAAAACATGCACTAATCTATAAATAAAATGGGATTCTGCGTCACCGAGCTTTCAAAAGGTTGTTTTAATTAAATGTCTGGTTATTCGAGCGACTCGAATTTGCTCACAAAAAAGTTTATTAGATAATGAATTTTTTTGGCTTAAAACCATTCTTACCGCGAATGTTTATCCATCCAAACTAGTGAAATGAATTATTAATAACACATTTGAAAGCTACTGCAATAGACACATCACTACTTCTTCTAAAGTAGTTGTTAATCACAATGATAAAATTAAGACGAATATTTGCTTTTATTATCTCGGAAGTGAATTAAAGAAATTTATTTTCAGTTTAAATTGAGATGTCTTCACAAAGGAGGGGGCCGCATAAGGTCGGGAATCGGCCTACTCTCTTTTTTGACTAAAAATGGATCCATATGTAGTAAAAAAGTGCCTCTATTCCGTTTTCGGTAAAATCAGATACTTTTGTCAGGTAAAAGCCGGTTAATTCCTGAACAATAGCATCTCAATAAG